GGACGGGACGCGCCGAGCGGGGGCCTCTGGGAGGAAGCGGGAGCCGCCGGAGGCCCGCGGGTGAAGGGCCGGGCGGCGCCGAAGCCCCGCGCCCCCCGGCTGGGCCGCTGCTTCGGGGTCAAGCCCGGGACCCGGAGGAGCGAGCGGGTGCGCTGAGCGGTGGGCTTGCCGGCAGCCTCTCCCCTTGGGCTCCGAGGCCAGCGGGAACGGGGAGAGCTGTTTGGGACCCAGTTTGGAGGGCGGGGAGGAGCTCTGAGCACAGCCCCCGTACTGTTCCTGCTGTGCCCGCTGCTTGGAAATGATCTTTGGAAATTGCCCTCACCGCCGCCCCGCCTGCTCGGCGAGCCCCATCTTGAGGCAGTGGCCCTGGATCTGACTTTCTCCCACTGAGCTAGTTTCCCCGAGCTTTCTTCTCAGCTTTCCAGGGCCTTCTCCTAACCCTTCTCCAGCCCCTGGGACCTTGGCTCTGGCCCGGGCCGCTCCACCGGTGGGCCTTGCTGGTGGGTGGGCCCAAGCCCATTTCCCCTGCCCTGAACGCGTCCTGCCCTTAAGGAGCCACATCTCAGGGCAGACCAGGTACCAAATTAGCAGCACGCTCCATTTAAGGGGCATCAGGGTCCCAGGAGAGGAGACCTTGGAGCAGGGTCTTAAAAAATTGGGTAGGATTCCGGCAGGGGAGAAAGGCCATTTCAAGCCGAAGAAAATGTATGAACAGTTAGGACAGTTGAGAGCAAGAATTTGGTGAGCCTGGCTACTGAGGTAGGGGTTGGGGGCAAACTGAAAAATAGCTTGTGTGGGCCAGGTGTTTGGACTCTACATAACCCAGGATTGTAGGGAGGTGATAGGTGGTTGAGATGAGGGTTTAGGCTGAGATGAGGGTGGGGTGAGACTGAAGGCAGAGAGCGGGGAAGGAGAAGGAGAAGGGGGTCCTCAGAAGTCGGCAGAGAATCTGAGGTAGCACAGAGGCAATGCCATAGGAACAGGCTGGCAAAACGCTGGCACGAGGAGTCGGTAGGGCTGTTTCAAGTGTGTGAAGGGAGAAAGTGTTTCAAGACCCAAGAGGTCAGGTGCCTAGTATAAATGGTGTGCTTGGAAAGATAAAGCAATAAAGTAACTAAAAGGGGGGGGGGTGAGGAGTGTATGGGCGAAGCATGAAGCACAGGCAGGATGGCCATATGGAGATGTCAAGTAGGAAGTCATCCATTCATTTATTATTTATGCCAGCCTCAAAGGCGGCTTACATAAAAGTCATAGAATAGATAAAGTGATGAAATCATTAAAACTCAGCCAACAGGACCTGAGAGCTGGGGAAAGTGGATAATTGTTACTTGAGAACGTCGGCTCAGAAAAGCCGTTGAAAATGAACACAGGACTCATCTGAGCCTGCTGGCAGCCAAGCGAAAACGACGCCTAAATAAAGTAGTTCACCAGGCTGGAAGTCGAGAGAAAGGCATTCGTTGAAGGCTCAGGGGTAGTAGGAGATGAAACGGAATCCCTCGAGTAGGGGGTGTAGGGGAGGGAGTCGATCTGAAGCCAGGTCAAGGCTTTGGCAGTGCTGACATTTAAGGGAAGGCTGATGCTCCCTGAGGAGAAAGGCCTTTCTGTGGCCTGCACGGGGGAGATGGGAGTGGGGAGGTGTGTGTGTGTGTGTGTGTGTGTGTGTGTGTGTGTGTGTGGTCCATTCACAGAACTCTTCTTACAGGGGAACAGGATAGAAGGTGGCGTGCTAAGTCCCCCGGGCTCTGACCTTTCCTACCATGTGGTGGGTTTGCCACTTGCCCAAGGCCTCTTGGGGCCCTGGTCTGGGAAGAGTACTCCAGCCAGCAGGTGAGCAGGAAGAAGCAGTTTCTGTTTCTACATTCCTCTTCAGGATCCAGATGGTGTCTCCAAGAGGGCAGGGATCCAGACACCAGGTGTGCTAGCCCTAACTGTGCTTCAGGAGCTGTTGGCCTTGGGCAAGCCACCTCACCTCCCTGAGCTTCCTTTTTCCCATCCTAAAATAAGGGAGTCAAGCTAGATGACCTTTGAGGGTCCCTGTAGCTACAGGAGTCTAGGATCCCTTATCTGGTTTCGTTTTGCGTTCAGCAGATATTTCTTAAGTATGTGCTATGTGCCAGACCCTGTGCTAGGTTCTAAGTATGTAATTATGAACCAAAACAGACGGAGTCCCTGCTCTCATGGAGGGGGTGGGGCAGAAATGTCTGTTAATCAAATAATCATACAACAAGCTATAAAATTGCATGGTAACTGCTACAGAGGGGCAGCACACGATGTTATGCGAACAAATGATGGGGGATTTAATGTAGACACGGAGTCTGTGTATTGGTGGGAAAATGTGGGTGGGGTGTGGGTGCTATTTCTTCCTTCCCCTTTCCCTCTGTAGATGGACGAATCCCCTTCCTGATCCACTGGAGTTGGCCCCATAAAGGGGAGCGTCCCCTTGGGCTCTCTAGGTGAGGCCTCCATGCCATGCCTTAGAACACATCTGGGCATAGCTGAGTAGCCTGGGAAGGGGCAGGACTTGGAGAGATCTTGATCCCTCGGGAGTGAGATTGGTTTTCTGAGGGTAGGGAGGGTACAGAGTCAGCTACCAGGCCTGAGATGAAGTTGGTTTACGTGATCTACGGTACGAGCGACGGTGGGCAGCCAGAGGGAGGATCTGTGGGAAGTGGGTGGAGACTGGCAGTGGCCAGCCTGAGCTCCAGGCAGGCAGTCAGCAGAGTGGTGCGGTCGGGGGGGGGGGGGGGGGGGGGGGGGGGGGGACAAAAACCTCAGTCCCCGGAAGGGTGTGAGAGTCTGATAAGGCTCTCGACTTGGGTATCCAGGGTCAGGCCTGGATCTCAGGAAGCTCGAAGTCCAGCAATTCAGATGGGCCTGGGTTCTGAGCCTGTGCAGAGGCTGAGCCCAGTAGCCCAGCCCCAGCTCAACCCTTCTTGTTCTCAGGGCCTTTATACGTCACCATGGAAGCTCAGCAGGCAGTGGTCCTCCATCCAGAAGGCATGGACAGCTGTTCCAGGACATCTCTGCATCTGGTAAAGAGACTGGCTGCTCAGTCAGCCTGAAGAGAGGGGCTGAATGGGATCCTAGTGATGGGGATTGATGGGGGGCGAGGGGGGGGGGGGAGTTGGGTCTGGAGGAAGAAGCAGGCAGGAAGAAGGAGGCAGAGAGGATCTATCAACTCCCCTCACCCCATCGTCCACCTGTCCATGTATCCCTTCCTGCAATACTTGTGCAGTATACTCTTAGCACACTTAGCGTATACAAAGCACTGGTGGGGGGGGATATATCACATCCGCCCTCAACAAACCGGGGGTCTGACATTCAGGTGGAGATTGAGCACAGACAACCACACAACCAGTCAACCCAGGTTTGGTGTCACTTGTCTCAAGGCTCACCACTCTCTGCCATGGGCGTTCCAAACTCTCTGGACAGTCTGTTGTCTGAGGGTGTCCTCTATGCACAGCATCGTTCTGGGTCTCGGTATCCTGGTCCTGCGATTTGATTCTGCTGCCTGACCCTACCACCTCCCTGGCCAGCCCTAAGCTCCTGCATCTTCCAGCCCCTTTCCTTGACCCATTCCCCTTGCCTTCCCATCCAGAAGCTGTCCAGCACTATCGCCGGAATCTGGCCGAGTGGTTCAGCCGGCTACCCAGAGAAGAGCGCCAGTTCGGCCCGACTTTTGCACTAGACACGGTCCATGTAGACCCTGTGATCCGCGAGAGCAGCCCAGATGAGCTGTTTCGCCCAACGGCAGAGCTGGCCCTGGAGCATCAGCCACCCCTAGCCGGTCTCCCCGCACTGGCTCTGTCCCAGCTCTTTGACCCAGATGCCTGTGGGCGCCAGGTGCAGACAGTGGTGCTCTATGGGACAGTGGGCACGGGGAAGAGCACACTGGTGCGCAAGATGGTCTTGGACTGGTGTTATGGGCAGCTGCCAGCCTTCGAGCTGCTCATCCCCTTCTCCTGCGAGGATCTGTCATCCCTGGGCCCCGCCCCCGCCTCCTTGTGCCAACTTGTGGCTCAGCGCTACACGCCCCTGAAGGAGATTCTGCCCCTGCTGGCTGCTGCTGGGTCCCGCCTGCTCTTTGTGCTCCATGGCTTGGAGCATCTCAACCTCGACTTCCGGTTAGCCGGAACAGGGCTTTGCAGTGACCCCGAGGAGCCAGAGGCGCCAGCTGCCATCATTGTCAACCTGCTGCGCAAATACATGCTGCCCGAGGTGAGTGGCCCCCTGCCTCACCACTGCTGCCCCTAACTTGCCTCCTAAAGACTTGTGTGTCCCGAGCCCTCGTGTTTTATTGGTGTGGGGGCATAGGTTCTTGGTTAGTTCAAACCTGCCCCTCCACTTCCCAGCTGTGTGTCTTTAAGCCAGTCAGTAACTTCCCCAAGCTCTGTTCCTTCTCTCCTAGAGCTATACTCATCAACTGAGACACTGCATAGGAAGTACTTCAACACGGTGCCCTGGATCCTAGTGGAGGCTCAGTAATTGTTAGCTATAATTATTATAGTCGCCATCATTTTTTTTTTTAAGTTTTTATTTATTTGAGAAAGAGGGGGGAAGAGAGGGAGAGAGCGAATCCCAAGCAGGCTCTGCGCTGACTTGGGGCTTGAACCGATGAACCCTAAGACCGTGACCTGAGCCGAAGTTGGATGCTTAACCAACTGAGCCACCCGGGTGCGCTGTGGGCATCATCAATTCCATCCTGGGACACTCAATCTTCAGGGGCTCTCTGGAGAGTGAGGCCATCAGGACACAAAGGTCTTGCTTAACTCTCAACCGTGCCGTTCCCAGGCCAGCATTCTGGTGACCACCCGGCCCTCCGCCATCGGCCGAATCCCCAGCAAGTATGTGGGCCGCTATGGCCAGATCTGTGGCTTCTCTGATACCAACCTGCAGAAGCTCTACTTCCAGCTCCGCCTCAACCAGCCAGACTGTGAGTACGGTGCTGGGGGTGCAGGGATCTCGGCCACGCCAGCTCAGCGTGACAATCTGGTGCAGATGCTCTCCCGGAACCTGGAGGGGCACCACCAGATCGCCGCCGCCTGCTTCCTGCCCTCCTATTGCTGGCTTGTCTGTGCCACCTTGCACTTCCTGCATGCTCCCACACCGGCTGGACATACCCTCACGAGCATTTACACCAGCTTCCTGCGTCTGAACTTCAGTGGGGAGATGCTGGACAGCACTGACCCCTCCAAGCTGTCCCTAATGGCCTATGCAGCCCGAACCATGGGCAAGTTGGCCTACGAGGGGGTGTCCTCCCGCAAGACCTACTTCTCTGAAGAGGATGTCCGTGGCTGCCTGGAAGCTGGCATGAAGACTGAAGAAGAGTTCCAGCTGCTACATGTCTTCCGCCGGGACGCCCTGAGGTTTTTTCTGGCCCCGTGTGTGGAACCAGGGCGCCAGGGCACCTTTGTGTTCACCGTGCCTGCCATGCAGGAATACCTGGCCGCCCTCTACATCGTGCTGGGTTTGCGGAAGACGACCCTGCAGCGGGTGGGCAAGGAAGTGGCCGAGCTCGTGGGCCGCGTCGGGGAGGACGTCAGTCTGGTCCTGGGCATTGTGGCCAAGCTTCTACCCCTGCGAGCCCTGCCTCTGCTCTTCAACCTGCTCAAGGTAACGACCCAGCACCCCAGGCTCTCAGCCCCCCTATCCCCCGTTCACCCCCTTGCTCTTCTCCCAGAAGGAAACCGCTACTTCCTGTGTAGCTGTGAATCTTCTTCTTGACTCTGGTTTCAGATTTGGGCAATCTGGCTTTTAGTGGGATTGAGACATAAGGGAAGGGGGAGCAGGAAACCACAGACTGGGGAAGGCTTGATGGCTGGGAGGAGGATGTGAGGGCGCAGGCACTTTAGTCACAATCCTATGACCCTAATGACGGTTTTCTTTTTGCCTCTCTTCTGGTCTTTGTCGGTGGGAGGCAGGAATCGCGCTATAGTCCAGGGTCTGGCCTCTTCTTTGCAGGCCCAGAAACTCCAATGTATCTGTTCCCTTGGAGGTGGTTAGACTCCGGGAATGATGACTCATTCTAACTAAATCACCAGAGACAAGTTTATAAAGCAGATGCCATTTTATTCATTTATACCAGGAGGAGAAATGGCATTGATAATTGGCTTAGGACAGCGCAGGCCTGCTCCAGAGTCCAAATCACAGGCCCAAGGACTGTGCTGTGAGCAGGGCAGACGTGCTAAGTTTTTGAGGGGAAGAAGGATCCACCTTCTGGTGATGGCTACCAGGTGCCTTGGGAATGAAATCTTATTATGATCCCTTTGTAGAATCCTAAGAAAATCATAAGAGACCGAGGCTCACAGAGGCTAAGTAACTTGCCCAAGGTCACCCAGACAGTAAGTGGGATAGCTGGGATCTGGGTCCAGGTTTAGGAGTCTGAACCCTGTGCTCTCTCTGCCAAACCTTACTGCTGTGTGATAGATATTTCTGTTAAGCTTTGGTGCCTTGCTAGGTAACCCTGGTCCTCTCTAGGAATGCATCAGTAACTTCTTTGGGAGGTAGAACCCTGGTCAGTGCTGGCAAAATTTTAACAGGTTTTCCTCTTTATAGGCACCGAAGCATAATGTTTAGGAGCAGGGATTCAGTAATTCAGCTATATGGGATTAAATCCAGGCTCTGCCACTTACTAGCTGTGTGATCTTGGACAAATTACTTAACTGCTATGTGCCTCCAAGTCTTACCTGTTAAATGGGGATAACAGAATCTATAGCATTTGGCCTAATATGAGGAGTAAATGTATTCATCCTCAGGATCTGGTACATCATAAGTGCTATTTATTGTTTGTTAGACAGGAAAACAGGCTCGGGAAGCCCACCCTTGCCCACACCATAGGCTCAGACGGGAAGGTAATGGCCATTGCTCAGGCCAGCCCAGCCCTTTGAGGATGTGTTTGCCTTATCTGGGTTACAGTGAGAGGCTGTGGTCTCCTGACAGGATTCCAGAAGCCCCTCAGTGCACCAAATTGTTAGCACCACAACTCTGGCCCTCTGGGAGGGAGGGCTGCTGAGCAGAATGCTGGTCTGATTTGTTTCTTCACGAGCCTATTGACTCAGCTTCGCAGGGTGACATTTTCTCATGCTGTCACCATGTGACTGTTGAGGGAGGAGCGCTATAACCTCCATGGCAGAGACTTCACCTGTAAAAAGGGAAAAAAGAAACCAAACCAGCCGTTAGAGGAGGTGCCACAAAACAACCTCATGGCTCCTTGCCAGAGCCATGGGCCCTCCTTGCCTTGCACCAAGGCAAGGACGGGAGACGATGTCCCAAACCTCCTAAATGTTAATTTCCCCAACAAACATTTGAGTGCCTGCTGTATACCAGGCAATGTGTTAGGTTCTGGGGAAGAAACAATTAACGAAACCCCAGATTTCTGCCCTTTCTGGTCCTCCAGTGGGAACACAAACATGTCCCTGTGACCGTGTGATTTAAAACTATGGTTTGGCACCCAGGTGGCTCAGTTGGTCAAGCGTCCGACATCAGCTCAGGTCATGATCTCACAGTGTGCCAGTTCGAGCCCCCCCATCGGGCTTTGCCACTGTCAGCACAGAGCCTGCTCCTGATCTTCTACTCCCCCCTCTCTCTGTCCCTCCCCGACTTGCGTGCTCTCTCTCAAAAATAAACAGAACATTAGAAAAAATGAAAACTAAAAAAAAAAAAAAAAAAAAATGAGATTATGGTAAGTGCCTGGAAAGCAAAGTTGCAGGTGCTGTGAAAATGTGTAAGTGGGGGACCTGATGGGTGTGTGTGTGTGTGTGTGTGTGTGTGTGTGTGTGTGAAACACTTCTCTGCAGGAAGGGCATTTAACCTGACCCTGGAGCATAGCCAAGGAGAAGAATTGGGGAGGGGAGTCACCCCAGAAAGAGAATACAGCTTTGAAGGAATGGAACCATGGTACTGTCGAAAAATAACAATAATGACAAAAACCGAAAGGACAGAAGCAGAGCGCGTGAGCGTAAGAAGTCTGTAGCTGAAGGCAGTGTGGCTGGCAGGGCCTTGAAGGAGCAAGAGCGACATCAGTCTTTGTTGCTGGGGTGACCGTGATGATGTGGAAGATGAGGATATCTTCGTAGCAGCACCTAGCCTGGTACCAAACCAAATGCAAAATAGATATAAATTCCTTCCCACCACCGGGCTTGCAAATGTATGGGGTGTCTGGGAGAAAGAATTTCCTAATGTCAGGAATGTAGGACACAAGTATCGAGAGGTGACTGTGGAAAGGTCAAATTGGGGCCAAATTATGACAAGTTTTCTATTCCGCGTGGGCAGTGGGGAGCCACGGCGGGTGCTGCCGTGGGGGAGTAGTATGATCAGACAAATCGTGCTGGGGGTTTAAGAGAGACGGTGAGGCCGGATGGGCAGGGAGAATGCACCTTCCGCTGAGCTTTGAAGGCCGAGCGGGCACACAGGAGGCTGCAGCACCGTCCCTGTGTCCCCTCCCAGGTGGTTCCAAGAGTGTTTGGGCGCGTGGTGGGTAAGAGCCGCGAGGCGGTGGCCCAGGCCATGGTGCTGGAGATGTTCCGAGAGGAGGACTACTACAACGACGATGTCCTGGACCAGATGGGTGCCAGTATCCTGGGCGTGGAAGGCCCCCGGCGCCATCCAGACGAGCCTCCCGATGATGAGGTCTTTGAGCTCTTCCCCATGTTCATGGGAGGGCTTCTGTCCGCGCACAACCGGGCCGTGCTGGCTCAGCTCGGCTGTCCCATCAAGAACCTGGATGCCCTGGAGAACGCCCAGGCCATCAAGAAGAAGCTGGGCAAGCTGGGCCGGCAGGTGCTGCCCCCATCAGAGCTCCTGGACCACCTGTTCTTCCACTATGAGTTCCAGAATCAGCGCTTCTCTGCTGAGGTGCTCAGCTCCCTGCGCCAGCTCAACCTGGCCGGTGTGCGCATGACACCCCTCAAGTGCACAGTGGTGGCAGCTGTGCTGGGCAGCGGAAGGCACGCCCTGGATGAGGTGAACTTGGCCTCCTGTCAGCTGGATCCTGCCGGGCTGCGCACACTCAGGCCTGTCTTCCTGCGTGCCCGGAAGCTGGGGTGAGGACCCGCCTTCAAGCATGGGCCGGAAGTCAGGAGAGGGTTGGGGGTGAAGAGTTGGGAAGAGAAGGTGCTGGGGAGACCAAAGGTAGTGAGGAAGGACCAGGGGGCGGGACGAGGAAGTCTGGGGTGCGTGGAGGTGACAAGCAATAGAAGGGAGGGCTGCATGGGCTTTGAGAGGCAGGATGGTGAGAAAAGGGCATGGTGGGTGGGCAGGCTCCATGCTGAACTCCTCCCTTGCTTCTCACCTCCCCTCTGGCCACTTTCCGTCCCAGCTTGCAACTCAACAGCCTGGGCCCCGAGGCCTGCAGCGACCTCCGAGACCTGCTGCTGCACGACCAGTGCCAGATCACCACCCTGCGGTGAGTGTTTCGGGATGGGTTGGGGAGGGCTGGAGGGAGGCTCTGGCCATCCTGCTGGCAGGCTAAGGTCAAGGGTGAGCCTCCCGCCTCAACACACCTGGCGCTGGCCCACCCCTGGTGTGGTGAAGGGGGTGGGGGCCTAGACCCCCGTCCTGCCGCCCAGGTCCAGTACAAGCAGCGGGGTGGAGGAAAGCTGCCACTGGGGATAGGTGCCTCTCTGGTGGCTAAAATCAGCGTGGGTCCGGGGGAATAATAGCCAGGCCGGTTGCCTGGCAACAGTGCCGCTGATGCTCTCCCAGGATTTTCCCTGTCGCCTCACAAGGATGACCCTAATGCTGGGCACTCAGCAGATGCTTCCAAAGCGCTGACTGGTTTACTAGGAACCCAGAAGCCTGGTTGGAGTAAGAGGAGGTGAATGAAGAGGGGGAGGGCAAGGGGCAGGGCGGTCTGGGGAGGAGGTGAAAAAAGGAAGGAGAAGAGAAGTGGTAACGATGAGGAGAGGTGGGTCAGCAGAAGAGAATGGAAGGAAGGAGGAGAAGCCAGCCCCCACCCTGCTCTGCCTCCTGTGCGCTCCACCATACCCCTGTTTCTTGGTGCTCTTCTCCCCTGCCCGCACACCTTTGTGTCCAGGCTCCCCGACCCCAGGCTGTGTATCCTTTCGGTCCAAGTCCCGCCGCCCAGCGCAGGGCATCTGCCGTGGGCCCTCATAACGTTGGGGTGCTTGTGGCCGTAGGCTGTCCAACAACCCGCTGACAGCGGCCGGTATGGCCCTGCTGCTGGAGGGGCTGGCCGGAAACACCTCCCTGACACACCTGTCCCTGCTGCATACGGGCCTTGGGGACGAGGGCCTGGAGCTGCTGGCCACCCAGCTGGACCGTAATCAACAGCTGCAGGAGCTGAACGTGGCCTACAATGGTGCTGGTGACACAGCGGCCCTGACCCTGGCCCAAGCTGCCCAGGACCACCCCTCCCTGGAGCTGCTGCAGTGAGTCTTGTCCTCGGTGCCATCCCCCCACCCCAGCCCTTCAGTCTCCCTCCTGTCTCCACTGCATTCTTCCTGCCCTAGGGCCTACCCTCTACCCCTGCCTTCTCACTGGTCCTCACGGACCCGCTTGGGAACCGACCCATGCCTTGCCCCGCCCCGATTCCCTACTACCATTTCTCTTCGAGTCCTAGTGACTCCATCCCTACTGTCCCGGGTCCTGCTGAGTTTAGATGTCATCTCCAACTCCTGTTGGCCACCCCCCTCCATCTCTGGCTCATCTCACATGCCCCATCACATTCCACAGGCAGGGGAGGAGTTGTGAGGACCCCCCAGGCTCTGTCCCGTCCACCCCCTGCCCTCCTTCTCAGAGCCCCGCTGAATGGCATCTTCTATTTTCTCTCCTTCTAGTCTCTACTTCAATGAGCTGAGCTCAGAGGGCCGCCAGGCCCTGCGGGATGTGGGGAGCACTGCTAAAGGTGGTGCCCGGGTCGTGGTATCGCTGACAGAGGGGACAGCAGTGTCTGAGTACTGGTCGGTGATCCTTAGTGAAGTCCAGCGGAACCTCAACAGCTGGGATCACAGTCGTGTCCGGCGCCACCTTGAGCTGCTGCTTCGAGATCTGGAAGACAGCCGAGGGGACACCCTTAACCCCTGGCGCAAGGCCCAGCTGCTGCGAGTGGAGGGTGAGGTCAGGGCCCTCCTGGAGCAGCTGGGAGGCCCTGGAAGCTGAAGCAGTGGCGGCAGTCACCGAGCTATGTGACCCCTGGGCCCAAGACCCTTCCCTCTGTGGCCTCCTGGTTTGCACTACTACTTCCAGAAAGATCCCTGTGGGGCTGGAGGTAAAGGATAGGGCACAACTGTGCCAGTTGCTCTCCTGGGGCATGTCCAACCATTGCTCCCCCAAGTCTGGAATTGCCAGGGTCATGGAACGTGCCTCCTTCCATTCAGCTAGGGCTGAGAAAGACTCTTCATGTGGCATCTTGGCAGCCAGTCGCCCTGTGGCACCACCAACCTCCTCCTCCACCAACCTCCATCCTCTCGAGGAGCTTCCGAGTGTGCCACCAGGGGGCGCACTTCTCCTGCCCGCCTCCCCAGCGGTGTTGCCATCAGATGCGTTGGAGGGCCTCCACCTTCTGCCTTTCTGCTCATCAGAGGACACGGAGGATGCCCGGAGCCGCTTTCCTCTCTTGTTGGTGCCTTCTCCTCACCTTCACGCCCCCTTTCTCACAATGTACTTATGCTCAGTGGCTCCGAGGGGCCTGTGCACTGCCCTGCTTCTATTAAAAAGCTGTGTCTTCTACCTACTATGGCCTCCTTCTTGCCTGATGCTTTCAAGAAGGGGTGCTGTTTTCGGACCACTTTCTGTTGCAGGTGGTTCTTGGACGCTAGGTTCAGAGGCAGCGAGGGCTGGGGGTGGTCTCGGAACAAGATACTGGGGTGGGAGGAAGTCATGTGGGGCTATAGGACTTCTATCACCTTTTCAAACATACCTATCCCAGGCTTGGCATTATCATGAAAAGCAACCTACCTTTGTCTGCCCAGAGCAGAAGCTGGGACCGCAGCAGTCTCCAGAGAAAGTTGGGGCCCAGGAATGGGGGCAGGAGGAACACACATACTTCTCCCTGGGGGATAAGACTCCTCCCGTTAACCATTACCTCACTGCTCCTAAGGCAGTGTCTTTAAGGAGGCGGGGACGTGGCAGGTTAGGTGGGAGGGTCAGCTGTTTTTCATGGACCTTGTCCCTACCCTGAGCACTGGGTCACTGATCCAACTATGGAAGCAGCTGCAGGTAGGAGACTGGGAGAAATCCTCTGCTGGGGACTTGAGAGGGCAGTTGAGAGGGCAGATTGGGAGGCCAAGGCTTTGGGACCAGGGTGTACTTGATGTTGGGGCTTGGTGCCCGGAGGCAAATAGATGGTGAGTTAGAAGAGAAGAGGTGAGTGGATAGGTCTGTCTTCCTGGTCCACGCCCCGTCCTGATATGCTCAGATTTCTGTGGACTGGGAGGCAAAGGGAAGAGAGAAGAAGGGAAGGTCTTTCTGGAGCAGAATGGAGGGGGCAAGTTCTAAATTTGGGGGTTCGCCCAAGTCCTTTCAGTTAATGACTGTGGAAGAGGAGTGGGGTGGGGAGGGAATGCGCCCCTCCTCTCCTCATCCCTTCTTTGCCCAGCAGATCTTCAGGACACAGCCTCGTTAACTCTGTAAGTGCCATGCTGGGAAGGATTGGGGCAAGGGGCAGAGGAGATCCAAGGTGGGGAAGGCCTTCATTCGCACAAGTAGAGACCGGGACCAGAGTCCCGATGTCAGCTTGCTCCTACCTGTGTCCCTTGCCTCCTTGCAGGAAGTTTGAGTTTAACCCAAAGCAGGGCATTGATAATCCTGTCCTCTCTCTGGCTGAAGACCTTGACCCCTCCGGTAACCCCCTCGCCCTGGGCAACCATTCCCTTTCCCCAGAGATACCACAGCTCCTCTCCGGCCTCCCGTCTCCTTGGTAACCACTCCACTCGGCCTCCCTCTGATAGCAGCCTGGTGGGGAGTAACTGTGTGGAGGTAGGAGGGGTTTGGGTGTTTTCTTTTGTCCAAGCCACTCTTCCCACATTTGGGTATTTGGCCCCACTGCCCAATACTTAACTGGGTAGGAGCCTGCCCAGTGCCCTATCACAAGGGTGCGTCTGCCAGGCACAAGGCGACTTGTATTTAGGCCCCCTCTTCCTCCCCCTTTTCTGTTGCCCACATCCCCTTCCAGATCTCTGGAGCCTGGAGCGGCCTCGCTTCTGTCTGCTGAGCAAAGAGGAGGGCAGAAGTTTTGGCTTCCACCTGAGACAGGATCTGGGCAAGGCTGTGCCTGTGGTGTGCAGGGTGGAGCCAGGCACCTCTGCCCAGCGCCAGGGTCTTCGGGAAGGGGACCGGATCCTAGGGGTGAACGACCACGTTGTAGAATGTGAAGACTATGCTGTGGTGAGGTTGGGCTGGGGCTTCCCTGTGGCGTAGAACATCCCTTAGCACCTCAAGGAGAGAGAAAGTCACTTCCCTGGATAGATGGGGGCAGTCCCTAAGCCTCAATCTCCCCTACCTTCCAGGATTTAGGGCTGCCCAGGTTGGGATGATCCGGAGAGTTGGTTCCAGGGGTAGAGCATTTGGCTGCAGACAGCTCATTCCAGGGAGGGGGCGCTGGCAAGAGGGGCCGCTCCCAACCTCCCCCTGCATGCCCTCTCTTTAGGTGGTGCGCCGTATCCGGGCCAGCGGTCCGCGGGTGTTGCTGACAGTTTTGGCGCAGCACGTGTATGACATGGTTCAAGATCGGCAGGGGAACAGTGCCCACCTGTCTCCTACTCTCGGCCCAGGGGTCCGGCCCCGACTGTGTCACATAGTGAAAGATGAGGGCGGCTTTGGCTTCAGTGTCACCTACAGTGAGCCCCGAGGCTCGGGAGGGAGGTCAAGAGCGGGATCTCAGCCCAGTTCTGGGCAGGTGGCAGATGGAAACTTACTTGTTTTTTTTTTTTTTTTTTTTCCGGCTTCCAGGTTATCAGGCTCCTTTCTGGTTGGTGCTGAGCACTGGAGGAGCAGCTGAGCGGGCCGGGGTGCCTCCTGGGGCCCGACTGCTAGAAGTGAATGGGGTCAGCGTGGAGAAGTTCACTTATAACCAACTCAGCAGGAAGGTATGGCCGGCTGTCTTCCCCCATTCGGGCCTCACCCCTCTGGGCCCGGGGGCCATGCCTCAGGCAGCAGATTCCTCCCCCTCACACTCATCTTCTCATCTGACCTTGTACCTCCTGCCATCCTTCCCTTCACAGTTCTTGCTAGGCTCTTCTCTCCCCCACCCTTAGTGCCTCCTTCCTGGGGTTTGGAGGAGGGGCTGGCTCTGCCCTCCCTACCCAGCTGGTTGATGCCGATGCCCTGCTGGGTTCCTACAGCTTTGGCAGAGTGGAGAGCAAGTGACCCTGCTGGTGGCCGGGCCAGAGGTGGAGGAACAGTGTCGCCAGCTGGGAATGCCCCTGGCTGCACCCTTAGCGGAGGGCTGGGCACTGCCCACCAAGCCGCGCTCTCTGCACCTACAGAAGGGGCCCCGGGGCTTTGGGTTCCTGCTTCGGGAGGAGAAAGGTCTTGACGGCCAACCTGGTGAGCGGTAGTCCCGGAGGCGGGTAGGGAAGGTGTGTGTTAAACCTGTTCACATTCGACTCTCAGTGCATATAAGTGGTATCCCTGGCTGAGGCCCAGCCCTGAGCCTCCTCCTACTGTGTCCCCCCCCCCCCCCGGGGTCAGTCCCTCAGTGTGCCCACAGTGGCCTGGGCTGGCACTGGGGTTAGCAGGGAAGGGGCCATGAGGATGTTTACGTCCTAGGACAGTTCCTGTGGGAGGTGGACCCAGGACTGCCAGCTGAGAAAGCCGGGATGCAGGCTGGGGACCGGCTGGTGGCTGTGGCTGGGGAAAGTGTGGAGGGGCTGGGCCACGAGGAGACAGTGTCCAGGATCCGTGCGCAGGGCTCCTCTGTCTCCCTCACTGTTGTCGACCGTAAGGCTGACCGCTTCTTCAGCATGGTGCGAGCTGAGGGCCGGGGGCTGGAGTGGGGGCAGGAATGGAGCAGGGCTCCGGTAGGGGGGGAGAAGCAAAAAAGAAAGGTTCGTTCTGTCTGCCTCCTTCCAGGTTCGCTTGTCTCCACTTCTCTTCTTGGAGAGCACAGAGGCTCCTGCCTCTCCCCAGGAAAACTGCTCGGCCTCTTTGGTTGAAACCAAGGACCTACCAGTTGAAGACACAGCCATGCCTCTTGTCCCGTGTGGCTCCCGCCAGTGCTTCCTGTACCCTGGGCCTGGCGGTGGCTACGGCTTCCGGCTTACCTGTGTGGCCAGTGAGCCTCGTCTCTTCGTCTCCCAGGTGACTTATGCCCTATGGACCTCGGATCTTTTCAGTCCTTTGCCTCCTAATGAGCCGTCATCTGCTTCCCTCCCAAGGTCTTAGAGCATCCAGCAACTTTTCCACGGTGTCCCATGTTCCGTAACCCCCCTCTTCACCAGGTGACCCTAGGAGGCTCAGCTGCCCGGGCTGGGCTGCAAACGGGAGATGTGATTCTGGAGGTGAATGGGTATCCCATGGGTGGAGAGAATGACCTGGAAAAGCTTCAGCAGCTGGTTGAGGCTGAGCCACCCCTCTGCCTGAAGCTGGCCGCCAGGTCCTGCTGGGGCTTCGAAGCCTGCGATCGCCCAGGGTTTGGAGAGGTAAGGAAGTAGGGACAGACGGGCAGCGAGCAGCCAGAGAAAGAGCCCAAGAGGAGGGCTACAGGGTGAAGCAGTGTGAGGCATGCAGGTTGGGACTTTAGACCATGGTAGGTGGGGACAGAAGGACCCAGGGAACAAGCCACATCCCTGGGCGGTCCAGTGGGGGTGGGGGCAGGGAAAAGGAACACTTCTGATCTGTGAATGACCTTCTGTCTTCTCTCTCTCCGCTCAGGACGGGGCTCTAGCCTCAGAGCTGCTGTAGTCCTCCTCTGCTGGACAAAGATCTGCCCGTTGGCCTTCCCGTCTTCACTCTCTGGCTTGTGATGGTAGGAGCTGAGAAGCTCTCTTTAGGCCAGAACTGCAGCTCTAGGATTCCGGACACCCCCAAGCACAGGATTGCCCAAGGTCTCCCTCCCTTCCTCCCAGAAGAGGGTGTGGCCAGAGGCCTCCGGCAGGCCCACTAGGGGGCCTAGGAGCATCGGGTTGTGTCCCTGGGATGAACTTCCCGCCCGAAACGAAGAGTGGTGTGATTTCGTGATTTGTAATAAATTAGACCCTTTCCCAGCACAGAGCTCCTAAAACCCTTGGAATTTCCGAAGTAGTAAGATGACAAAGGTGTCTTCTGTTACTCGTACCGAGCCCCTTTCAACCACATCTGACTTTGTTAATTAAGGAAGTGATTTTTGGAAAGCACCTGAGGTTGGGGGACTGGTTGCCAGGGGAACCTACCACGTGATTAGAGAGGGTTGGAACTTTCAGCCCCGCCCCGCCCCACCCCACCCCCACCCTGGACCTCCCGGGAGGGGAGAGGCACTGGAGGTTGAATTAATCACCAACGACCAATGGTTTCACTGCTTGTGCCTCCATAGTGAAGCCTCCATAAAAAAACCCCCAAAAGGACGGGGTTCAGGGAGCCTGGAGGTGCCGGCCGGGTGGTGTACCCAGAGGGGGCATGGAGCTCCCACGCTCATGCCTTGTCCCGTTCCTACTTTCATCTGGCCGTTCCTGACTTGTGTCCTTTATAAAAAACCGGCAATCTAGAGATTAAAAGGTTTCTCTTGAGTTCTGTGAGCGGCTCTGGCAAATATTGGAACCCAAGGGTAGGGGGGCGGGGTCGTGGGAACCTTTGTGTTTTGGCCAGCTGGTCAGAAGCACAGATGACAACCGCTGGCTTTTGAAGTGGGGCCCGTCTTGCGGGGCTGAGCCTGAGGGATCTGATGCTCTCTTCACGTCAGTAGTGACAGAACTGAGTTAACTTGTAAGGCACCCGGCTGGTGTCCACAGAACTGTTAGGGGATTTCTTGGTGTGGGAAACCAACCCCCCCCCGCCCCCCGACACATTTGACCAGAGGTGAAATAGTACTGGGAGGGTTGTAGTAAAATAGAGGAGAATCCCAGCGTTTTCCCTTTTTAGGTGGGCTGTGGGCTGGCTAGGATTGAAGCCATCTGGAACTTGCCCTAGGCATGACGCCAGGAGACTCGGGTATATTGCAAGAATTTGGAGACAAGTTACACCTTCCTCTGCAACCTGAGGATTGTGCGGGCTGGTGGCTGGTCACTGTTAGTCTATTATAGAAATGGCCTTTCTCCTACAAATCTGGCTGCCTGTGTTGGGGGGGGGGGGTCCCGGGACGGTGGTTTGGAGGGACCAAAAAAGCTCCAGACCCAAGGCATGGGACCCAGTTTCTCTAAAAGAGAGTTGAGACCTTACCGAATTTCTCTCCTCTCGTTCGGAGTAATGGGTCAGCCCAGAACCAAGCTGCCCCGTAAGAGGTCCTCACCTCTGCCAAAAAGCCACAGCCCACAGTTCTGCTGAGTTCCACATGGAGACAGCTTTATTGCTGGAGCCTCCCAGAGCCCCAGAGGCTAGAGGCTTACAGCTTCACAGATCCAGGGGGTTGAGTCCAAACTGGCGGAGCCGCTCCTTGTATTTGGAATGAAGTCTCAGCACGGCCCCATCCCACTGAGGCTTCACTGCTCTCAGCTTGGCCAAGAGTTGGTCCAGGCTGCCCTGCAGACACCAAGCTTCAGGCCCCAGGAAGGGAGAGGGCAGCGTGAGGGGTGCCCCAGGCTAGTCTGTAAGCTCTCTTTTGCCAGTGGCTTCTTCGAGCTTTTACACTTAGTGGGCCTGGTTGCATCCCCTGGTTGTCTGCCCTCAAGACAGAGCAGATTTCCTTGTGGAGATGCTTCTTTTCCTTCCCCTGGTCTGTCACGGTCATACTAGTTGGGGTTTGGGGGGATGGGGGAGTGCTGGGTACTGGGGTGGTTGGGATTCAAACGGGTGCTTACGTGTAAGATTTCCTCGTACTTGGCCTCCATGTCTGCCACGTGTGCCCGAAGCTGAGCCAGAGTCTGGTCCCGCTCTCTGAGGGCCTGCTCTGCCCCTTCCCGTGCGGCCTCAGCCTCCCTCTGGCACGTCTCTGTGGGGCCGGGCAGAAGGAGAAAGAGGATTGGGTAGTGACACTCTACCTGTGAACAGAGTCTCCAAAGGTACCTAAAAAGCGGAACTTCAATGGGATCATTCCAGACTCCCCCAGTATCACCAATTTTCCCGCAGTCCGTATAAAGAGCGGACATATACCTCTAAGGTACAGTAGAGAGAGTAGTGGCATTGGGACAAGAGATGTGGGTCCAGAGTTTGGTTGTCGCTTATTGACTACCTGTGTAACCTCAGGCATGTCTCTCTCTGAGCCCAAGGTTCTTCATCTTTAAAGACAGAACGATCCAAACCTTACAGGCTTACTGTGAGTTGAATGCGAGCATATAGGGCGAAATGTATAGTATATACAGGAGGTGCTCCATAAATGCTGATCAAATTTAAATTCCAGAAAAGGCAAGGATGAGGAAGGGCATTCAGGGTCTGCATGGCAGATAAGCAACTCTTGGGTATCTGAGACTATTTTAGGTTAAACTGAGGCTATTTTAGGTTAGGAAAACTTTGAGACCACAATTGTGAAAGATCTTATGTGCACGCTAACATAGCTCAACTGCATCCTGTAACCAAGAGAGAAAGGAAAAACTTCCTGTTTTTTACATTTTTGCTTATCTGGAAGGTTTATTCCTTTATGTAGCAAGTACTTATGTAGGACTGAGCATGCATGAGGCATTGAACATATGGACGTAAGTCTAATATCTTTCCTCAGTTTCATCGTGAAAATCAGCTGAGAGGAAGTATGTTTTGCCCATGACAGACATGGCAGTGTGGGGAGAAAGATCTGGATTTGGAGAGACCATTGAGAGAGGAAGATGGGGTAAGAGACTTGGGTCTTTTTTTAGTTACAATGTAAGAGGTTTTTGCCATCTTGAACCCTCTGCTCCAATCCTCCATGGTGGGAGAGTTGATGGGGAAAAGGATAAGAGAGGGCGCATGGGTGGCTCAGTCGGTTAAGTGTCCAACTTTGGCTCAGGTCATGATCTTGTGGCCCCTGAGTTCGAGCCCCGCTTCGGGCTCTGTGCTGACAGCTCGGAGCCTGGAGCCTGCTTTGGATTCTGTGTCTCCCTCTCTCTCTACCCCTCCCCCGCTCGCTCTCTGTCTCTTAAAAATGAATAAATGTTAAAAAAATTTTTTTTTTTTAAATTTTTTTTTTCAACATTTATTTATTTTTGGGACAGAGAGAGACAGAGCATGAACGGGGGAGGGGCCGAGAGAGAGGGAGACACAGAATCGGAAACAGGCTCCAGGCTCTGAGCCATCAGCCCAGAGCCCGACGCGGGGCTCAAACTCACGGACCGCGAGATCGTGACCTGGCTGAAGTCGGACGCTTAACCGACTGCGCCACCCAGGCGCCCCAAAATTTTTTTTTTTTTAAAAAGGAAAAGGGTAAGAGAGCCTAGATAGCAGTCTTCTAGAGAAGGACTTTTTTTTTTTTTTTAAATGTTTATTTTTGAGAGAGAGCACAAGCAGGGGCAGGGGCAGACGGAGACGGGGACAAAGGATGCAAAGTGGGCTCCATGCTAACAGCAGTGAGCCTGATGCGGGGCTCAAACCAACGAACCGTAAGATCATGACCTGAGCCGTCATCAGATGCTCAACAGATTGAGTCGCCCAGGGTTCCCTAGAGAAGGACCATCGTAAGTCCACCCCTGCAGACTTGGACCTTGTCAGTGCCCCTTGGAGAGACAGGGGTTAGGGAGTGGAAGCCTACCCAGCTGCTCCCGAAGGCCCCTCACTTCTTCTTCCAGCGGCCTGCTGCGGGTCTCCATTTCCTTCCGCAGGACTTGGCACTGACGACTCATCTCTGTGGTGGGGGCAGAGGGTCCCAGGTGTGGATGGAGTGGTGGAGAAAGGAAGGGACATTGTGGGCAGGGAGGGCCTTCTTGGTCCAGTGGGACAGGAGCATAAAGGTCGCCTTGGTGGTTCTTGTGATTCTGAGAGGCTGGCCGACCCCGAAAAGCTGGGGAAGAGCTAGGAAACCAAGCCCCTTTCCCCATTCCAACTCAGTACCTAGACTGTAGCCCTTCTCCCCACTCACTCCCATGGGATGAATGAGATAAAGGCCATGACTGCATTTTTTAATCCACAAAGCACATGGCATCAGGCATCCAGGAAGGTTCCTGCCTGGGATCCCGGGAGGCTGTCCTTCGTTTCCTTCAGGACCCTGCCCAATTCATGCTGAGCGGGGAAGGTTAAAGTTAGGCATGGCAGACGGACATCTTTCTTGTTTCACTTCCTTGTATCCTCTGGCCCTCTTGGCTGTCCTTTTCCAGGCCCCTGTCTCCTGCCCACCTGCCTGACCAACCACACACACCTGCATAGACGGCCTTCCCCTCACTTCGGGCCTCTTGCAACTCAGCCTCTAGCACTCGCAGCCTCCACCTCAGCTGGTCTTCAGAAGCCTTGGCTCGGCGGGCCTCGTCCCTCCTCAGAGCTGTGAAAAGTCCCAGAGCCGTCCTCACGACTGGCTGGGGGTCCCACGTGGCCCTGTGGGCTTGATGGACCGTGCCCACCTCTGGGAACCCGGTGGCAGGCTTCCAGCCTTTCATTTTCCCTCTGGGTTGGAAATGGGTTTGTCCCCGGAATGCCATGAGCTTTTCCTTACTAAGGGAAACCCCCCTCTATGTTCTGCTTATAAAAACTAGCTATCATCACCAACCCTCCCGGCCCAACCCTTCCTCGCAACGTCAGTTCTTCCTCCACCAGAGGATTGGCAGGGGTCACCTCAGCCTCCCGCAAACAGCTCTAAGCCTCCGAGCCTCTGACGATGTGAAATGCGGGCCCCCCCCCCCCCCCAGCCCACCTCTGTTGTCCTGAGCTTCCACTTTCTTACCCAAGTGGTCTTGGAGCAACTCCTTTTCCAGCACTGCCAGCCTGTGTGCGGATTTGGCTTCCACATCTGCCCTGGCAAGTTGGCAAAGCCTCAGCTTGGTCTCCTTGGACCTTTAGGACCTTATCATGATCTCAGCCTCCCTCACTTCTCCCCATCCTCATGCCACGCCCTGAACTTTCTTTCTGCAGGAGATCTGAGGACCTTTCAAGGAGGGATTTCTGATGGCAGGGACTACTGAGTTCCCTGCTGTGTCCTGGCAGCCCAGCCCAGGGTAGGTGCTCAGAATATGTGTGATGAATATATAGGGAAGGCACAAAGCCAGAAGGGCAGCACAGAGTGGGTATATGCCCGTTTCCCCAATTTCCCAGCTCCATGGAACGTGGAGGGAAGATATCGGGGGAGAGGGTCCTGAAGGCTCTATCTTGTCATGCAGAGGGCTGAGTTCTCTCTGGAGCACCTCTGCTTGGTGTCCAAGCCAGAGAATGGAGAAGCAGGAGGCGCTCACCTCCATCCACCCTGACTCACCAGCACCCACATTCTTTTTCTTCTTCTGTGACCCAGCTTTCATCCCTTTTCCTTCGGTCTTAGATGGCATCTCCTTGCTGTCCTGGGGAAGGAGAGGACTTGTATTTAAGATTGCACATGGGGGGCGCCTGGCTGGCTTGGTTGGTTAAGCGTCTGACTTCGGCTCAGGTCATGACCTCGCCATCCGTGAGTTCGAGCCCCGAGTCGGGCTCTGTGCTGATGGCTCAGAGCCTGGAGCCTGTTTCGGATTCTGTGTCTCCCTCTCTCTCT